CAACACACCCTAGTGGCTGACGAGCAAACTGCACCTATATCTCTTGCAACGCACCCTAGTGGCCGACGAATGAACTGCACCTACATCTTCAAAGTCTTGCAACACACCCTAGTGGCTGACGAGCAAACTGCACCTATATCTCTTGCAACGCACCCTAGTGGCCGACGAGCGAACTGCACCTACATCTTCAAAGTCTTGCAACGCACCCTAGTGGCCAACAAATGAACTGCACCTACATCTTCAAAGTCTTGCAACACACCCTAGTGGCTGACGAGCAAACTGCACCTATATCTCTTGCAACGCACCCTAGTGGCCGACGAGCGAACTGCACCTACATCTTCAAAGTCTTGCAACGCACCCTAGTGGCCAACAAATGAACTGCACCTACATCTTCAAAGTCTTGCAACACACCCTAGTGGCTGACGAGTGAACTGCACCTACATCTCCAAAGTCTTCCAACGCACCCTAGTGGCCGACAAGTGAACTGCACCTACATCTCCAAAGTCTTGCAACGCACCCTAGTGGCCAACAAGTGAACTGCACCTACATCTCCAAAGTCTTCCAACGCACCCTAGTGGCCGACAAGTGAACTGCACCTACATCTCCAAAGTCTTGCAACGCACCCTAGTGGCTGACGAGTGAACTGCACCTACATCTCCAAAGTCTTGCAACGCACCCTAGTGGCCGACGAGTGAACTGCACCTACATCTTCAAAGTCTTGCAACGCACCCTAGTGGCCGACGAGCGAACTGCACCTACATCTCCAAAGTCTTGCAACGCACCCTAGTGGCTGACGAGTGAACTGCACCTACATCTCTAAATTCTTGCAACACACCCTAGTGGCCGATGAGCAAACTGCACCTACATCTCCAAAGTCTTGCAATGCACCCTAGTGGCCGACGAGTGAACTGCACTTGCAACTCCAACGTCTTGCAACGCACCCTAGTGGCTGACGAGCGAACTGCACCAGCATCTCCAAAGTCTTGCAACGCACCCTAGTGGCCGACGAGCGAACTGCACCTACATCTCCAAGGTCTTGCACATGTCAAAGCCTACGTAAACGGCCAACACGTAATACAACAGGAACAATCCACTAACGCACAAGCTAACAAGACAGCTAGCGTCATACAATCTGCGTCACTCGATCCTTCCCTTAGAACTGGAGAGCCTCCCCCGACGAACCCAGACACACACGGGGTCAATTCCCAACAATTTCCCAGCGACGTAAAACAATCCTCAGCCAGCGGGGACACAAATGGCCACAAGTAGGAACGTCCACGTGGAGGCTAAAGAATTCCAGCCAATACTTCAAGGCAACTTGAACAGGAACAAAGAGAGTTATAAACACGATCAACCTGGAGAGCAACAACGGAAATGACCTTCGGCTACACCGTGGCAAGGTGAAATTGCACAGAACTTTTCAGAAGAGAAGCACCGTCCATCCTCGGCCGCCATGCCTACTCCTATGGGCCGCACCTCTTCGAACCAACAGGAGGCCACTGGTCCTGATCCACCCAAAGCTGTGGGGCACACCTCGCCGTCTCCCCCGGCATACAACCGTTGGGCATATTGGCAACCTTACCAGAGTGGGGTGGGCTTGGCATCTTGGGGGGTAGAGAAATTCTCTGACAAGCCAGGCCGAGAATATCGGCTATGGAGGGAGATCTTCCAACATGCTACCCGGGCCGAGAGGATAGACCCTGAAGATGAAA